ATCATTAGATTATAAATTTAATCTCTTTTATATATTAATAAATTCTTACTCCTTTGCTCATAATTAATCTTGTTTCTAACATCAAATAGCATCCATATATGATTATGATTAATCCATATAAAACATTCTCCCATATATGATAAAAAGTCAAGAGTATCAAAAATAGTGTGAAAGCTATGGATATACCAATAATTATAATTGCACCAACTATAAAAAATCTAATGATTTATACTTTTAAAAGAAACCTCTCTTTTGTTTACTAAACCTATAAACGAAAATGAAGCGAATATGAAAAAAGTAATTCCCCAAGTTACCAAAACACCCATTTGTCTCAGTCTGAATTCCATAAACTGCATATATAGTTGTAAATGTAAATCCAAAGAAAACTATATATAATATCAAAACTATATAATTTAAAGGAGCCTATGATAATATCTCTAACTATTACTTTTCTTGTAATTTCTTCCAAAATATAGTGTGAATTACAATATTAATGAAATACCTAAAAAAAAACATAGAATAATCAAGATGGTGTAAGGCATTCATATAAATATCACTAACATTCATATTTCCAACGCACCAGCCAAAGTTACATTTTATGTAAAGTCTTAAAGAAATCATTCTCAAATTTAAAAAGAATTCGATTGTTAAAAAACTATACATATTCTGAACAAATTTAGCTCTTATCATAGTATTCTAAATTCACCTTGATCTAAGAAAATAGAAAATTAAATGAATTCAAATTAATTCATTATCTAGGGTTATCCATAATATGTTTCAAATGACTATGGATTTAAGTATTATTGTTAAAAATTCTATTTTAACAAATAATTGTCAAAGTTATTGTTCATGAAAATCAAGATAATTATTATATTAAGTAAATTGCATCTGTCATCAAAGCTTAAAATCATAACATTTTTGATTATTAAATCATTCCATATTTTATTTTGGATATTCTTTCTATCCTAATAAATTATTATAAATTAATATGTTTAATAATAACTATGATTTTCATATAGAACTATCATGTCATGATTATAATAATTTAGACACAAACTCTGGTAGATATGATTCAATTAAATAGATGATTAGATTGTCTATCATTTATATCTATCAATCAAATAATTAAAAAATCTCAT